TCCGCAATATTTCTATTCACTTCGCGTCTGAGAGTCTTTAGTCACTTACCAGCAAGTGGGCTGCCAGCACCGTCAAATTCTCCACATACCGCCTCAGACGGCCATGGTCAACACTGAGATTATAAGGAGCCGTCCGAACTGGTTCATACCGCAATCGGTAGAAGGAACCAGAGGGGTCTTCTCGCTCATAGACTCCGGTCTATTTGGAAGGGAAATCGACCGGATACAGCGCGGGGTGCCCCGGAAGAAAAGGAGCTTTAAATTCAAGCCTCATAAACCAGTAAAGTGGAAGCCAGTGCACACGGTGCTGCGACGAGCTAGGCGAGTGCGGGCCAGTCGTGGTTGGGCTGGAAGGTTTCGGATCGCGCTGCAGCAGACGCCACACTCACTTGCGCTTGTGGCATCGATTCAGGCCGCAACTGCCACATGTTCATACCTCGTATTACCTCAATTCTCGATGATGTATCGTCGGAAGACGGAAACTTGGACGGTGAGTTGGGCAAGGCGACGGTGGACGGTACAGGTGGAAGGCGAGAACTTAGAAGGCAAAACGCCTTTTCGAGGACATCAAGACGACGAAGATCAATCAGAGAGGAACGGCAGAAGGCGAATTGAAATCCGGAAGCGTCCCCCACCCTCCCATCGTCTTCTGAACATGGCTTGCTGTCACTATCTGGAAGAGAGCTCCGTGCATTGTGGGTGACGTCTACAAACATTTCGAAGGGTTTATCCTCTCAGTATTGTACTGCTGATAGGCCCAGGCACCCGACCGAGAGCCGATTCCCGTGGTCACCACCGTAGCCTGACCGGCCCTCTTCAAGTACCCCTTGAAAGCTGTAACAGATGCCAGAGTGCTGGTCATAATCGTAAAATGATCAGTTCTGTCAACTGCCTGGGCGGCTAGGATCGATGCGTTTTTCTCGACAGCGTCGATGCGTTCATGCATTCCACAAGCGGCAGAAACGGCAACAAATGTATGGCATCAGAGACAGCACACCGCGTGACAAGGGAACACAATTCGTCATCCCCACTGGCAAATAACCAGTTCATCGCCGTAGGACACGGTCACCTGCCCACGTTTGGAATAGTGACAGCAACTATCTCATATAGTCACTTGGCTGCAGCTCGTGGAAACGTGCTGACGGGTTCCACGAGTGGTTCAAAATTGGTAGAATTCTACCACCATATATATTATTAGTACCCCCCCCCCCCCGTATTTACTGTGCGAGCACCGAGCTGCATCTTAAAAGCTTCGTTTGCGATCACTTGGTTGCTCCTCGGTGCGTACAGATAGAAATGTCTGAGATACCCACCGATCACCTTGTCCTTAGAGGTCGCCACGCTGGTGATCAGTCCACGCATCCCGATGCTGCAGCTTTTGCATATGCTGAGATAAGTGCTCTGTCCCAGCGTGTTGCCACACGTTCCCGCAAAGAAGCAGTTCCTTTTATGCAGAAGCTCTCGTTTCTTGCATTCGTGCACGATATAGTATTGCATCGAGAAATGGGTTGACGGATGCCCTCCCGAAGCTATAACGTAAGCAATTTCACTGTTAGCGCATTGTCGTAAGTCAAGAGATGGTCTGGATGGCTTCATAGTACCACCTCAGGTTTCAAGCAACCTGGTCGCTTGAATACGTGCTGGAGTTGGTGTGCGCGGATACCAAGGAAGTGAACCTGTGCACACTTGTGAATCCACGACCGCCGATATGGGGGACACAACCGTAGATGCCTCCGATTGTGACGTGGCGGTCATCTGGCCTATGGCATGGCAGTGACCAGCCACACCAATTATTTGAGTTCAGCTGGTCAGATTATTCTGGTCGGCGTAAACTTAAAATTGCGTGTCTTTTACATCAGTCTACAATCCTA